AATCGGGCTGCGAACCTTAAGGTCAGCGGTTTGAAACTACCAGCCGCTTCGCGGGAGAAAGATGAGGCTTTCTACTCCCGTAAGGATTTACACCCTCGGAAACCCTGTACAGGGTCGCTATGGGTCGGAACCGACTCAACGGCACTTAACAACAACAATCAAGATGTGGATACACTAAAGTAGCATCTAGTAAATCTAAGTTCGCTCTTTTCTTTTAAGAAGTCTTAGGGTAGTTTTAAATGGCAGCAGGTTAAGAAAACACCTATACCAAAATCATGTTACAAACAACTCAGCCTGAACTAAGCCCTAGGGAAAAGTGTCTTGACATTTGTAACTATAGAAAACTAAACTAATCTCAAATTTAAGCTGCCCATATCTATTATTTCAAAATGTTTCTTTGTAGGCTCTTATCTTTAAGAATTTTGTGAAAATGTGTCAACCCTAGAGCATGTTTCAAAGTCTTTTCCTTTATAAATGTTGGGAAATATTGCATTGTGGCCACCATCTAAGACTCACTCTCTCAGATCTCCTTCTTCATACAACAGATTAAAACACTCTGGCAGTGCAAATTCAATCCATACCCTGTAAGAATTATTTTTTCAGGGTTAACATCCTAAAAGTTACAATAAAAGAACAATTTATGAGGCTTTTGACTTTGTTTTGTTATTTTTCTTTTAATCCGTCTTAGGATTGCGAGTTTTGTGTATGAATATATACCAAGTTTGGAAGAACGTTAACAAAAATTTGTCTCTCTCATTTTAAATTTAACAGAAGAGATGTCTATTCTTTCAAAATAGTCCAAATTAAGTCATACAGATTTTTTTCTTCAAAAGGAAGCTATCTATAGTTGCGTCAACTACAAACTCAGGACCATCCGATCAATTTCTTGTTGTTAGGTACCATCCAGTCAGTTTCACCTCACTGCCCCCTCCCCTCCCCTCCCCCACTACTGTGTTTGGTGTGCACTGTTGCAGCCACTGTACCAACCTGTATCATTAGGGGTCTTCCTCCTTTTCTCTGACCCTCGACTTTACACTTTACCAGGTATGATATGCTGCCTCAGGGGTTGTTCTCTCCTGACGACATGTTCAAAGTAAACAAGTCTTACCATCCTCACTTCAAGGGTTAACTGACAACAGATACTTAGGGAGGGTCTACTACCTGCCAATAAGAGCTGGCAGCAGAGTGGGTTCCGAGTTGGCTTGTTTCGCAGTTCAAATCTACCAGCTACTCTGAAGGAGAACTACTAAGCTCTCTACTCCCATAGAGATTTACAGCCTCGGACACTCTTTATAGCGCAGCTGAGCTGGAACCAACTCGATGGCACACCACCCTTACCACCGCTATATGCCAAGTACTGCTCTAGAGGCCTTTGACACATTGCTGTTCTTAAGTGATATGGAGTCCGTTTCCACTCCTAGTGACCCTGCATAGGGTTTCCTAGGACCGGCTGGTGTGTCTGAACTGCTGACACTGTGGCTAGCAGTCCACTGTTTATCCTACAGTGCCACAGAAGGACTCCACATAATAAATTAGTAAACATAAATTCTCTTCCTCCACATCTCTAAATAAATCCTTAAATATATAATATAGTTGCTAGGTAAAAACTTCAACAGCAACCTTTAAAAAGCTAAAGATGAAGACTTTTAACATTCAACTTTCTTTAAATCAACATTTCCTTTGAAAAGACTTACAATGAAGTTGTCAGATTATCATCTTAATGTGGAAAGCACTTTCAGACCCAACTGTATTTCACATTTACTCTAACACATAAACGAAACTCAAGGCTTTAAAGAGAATATTAAGATCCCACAACAAACGTCAAGAAAAAGTAAAGCTTGCTACAGGGTAAAGCATATTGTTGTTGTTGTTATGTGCCGTGGAGTCGGTTTCGGCTCATAGTGATCCTGCACAGGGTTTCCGAGGTTGTAAATCTTTATGGGAGCAGAAAGCCTCATCTTTCTCCGGCGAAACCGCTGGGTAGTTTCGAACTGCTGACCTTGAGGCTGGCAGCTCAACTCGTAACCACTACGCTACCTGAGCTCCTTAAATCATATTGTTGTAAAGCACCGTGGAGCCGGTTCTGACTCATAGTGACCCTGTACAGGGTTTCTGAGGCTATAAATCTTTATAGGAGCAGAAAGCTTCATCTTTCTCCCATGGAACAGTTGGTAGATTCGAACTGCTGACCTTGAGGTTAGCAGCCCAATTCATAACCACCACGCTACCAGAGTTCCTTACCACAACCCAATTAAGAAAGTTGTATTGTTAAGTAACAAAACTGAAACAACAAATGAAAAGCCATTACAGAAACAACGGCTTTTCCCTCTTATAAAGAGATCTCTGGTGTTTGGAAAGTGTTAGATGGTGCTGTAGGATAAGGTGGTGTTGTTAAGCATGTCAAGTAGGTTTTGACTCATAGTGACCCCACATAGGGTTTCTGAGGAGCAGCTGGTGGGTTTGAACCTCCGATCTTGTAGTTCACAATCCCATGCTTATCCTCCAATGCCACGCCAGGAGTCCACTAGCTTGTAGTCTGAGCCCACAACAGCTCCCTCCACTGGGAGCTTTGTGTACCCTCAAGATTTACAGCCTCAGAAACTCTATACAAGGATCCTATACAAGGTCACTGCAGTCCTGGTATGGCACTGCGTTAGACTTCAATGTCAGTTTTAATCGCAAGATCAGTGGTTCAAGCTAACCAGCTGCTCCACGAAAACCCTACAGAGGGTCACTATGGGTCGGAAACAACACGACAGCACCTCACAACAACAATACAGGGTTACTAGGAGTCAGAACTGACTGGACAGCACTTAACAACAGTGGTTAAGCACTTGGTTGTTAACTGAAATGTGAGCCATTTGAACCCAGCAGCCCCTCAGAAGGAGGGGATCAGGCAATGTGCTTCCGTAAAGGTTGTTGCTGTTGAGTGTCATCGAGCTGACTCTGGCCTGTAGGAAACCCTATGGGACCTGTAAGGTCACAGCATGTTGTGCCACCTACAGGGGTCTGTGGATGGCACAATTAAAAAGTTGCCAGCATATAGAGGGGATTGCAATCATTGTAATGAAGCAAAGTACAAGGAAAACTGATGATCTGCTTTGTAAGCCTTCACTCCAGTCACCACAAAAGGTTTAAAGAGAACTTTTTAAAAGTTGTCAGTTTAAACCCATGCAGGTGTTTGTCAGAAGAAGAGCCTAGCAATCTGCTTCCAGAAAGTCACAGGCCTTGAAAACTCTAGAGTGCAGGTCTACCGGTGTCACAGAGAGGGGGCTCCACGCTTTCACTTCGCTAGAATGACTTCGTCACCAACATCAACACTACAAATGATCAAGTATCTTGGTGTCTGCAATCATTCAGCTCCTACATGTCTAATGCCAACTGACTATTGAGCTTTCTCCATATCCTTACTTGGAGTCCTGGTGTGGTGCTGCGGGTTATTGACTGCAAGGTCAGTAGTTCAAGCTCCCCAGCTGCTCAGAAACCCTATACAGGGTCACTAGGAGTCAAATCAAATCGACAGCGCTTCACAGCAACATATAACTTTCCATAAGATTTGATGTCTCTTATGATTTACCCCACCCGCCACCCCAAGAACTACAGTGAGGCTCTCCTCTCAGAAGAAAGGCCACCCTATGCTATGTATCTTACCTTGTCAGAGAAGACCTCATATACTGTTATCTAAGAGCTTGGTGGACTCCTGGTGTGGCACTGTAGGATAAGCACTGGACTGCGAACCACAAAGTCGTCGGTTCAAATCCAGCAGCTGCTCCTACGAAACCCCTGTACAGAGTCAGAATCCACTCGACAGGACTTAATAACAAGAAGAAAAGTTGGGTAGTACTTGTTTCAAATCTCACATAAGGAAACTGAAAGATAAGAGTGATAAAACCGCAGGAAAAAGGCAAGATTTAAATACAGAATCGATGCAACCACATCGAATTGCTCCCAAGTAAACGATCAGATAGATTTCTAATATAAAGTTCTACGTTTAGAATGGAGTCCTGGAATAAGCACTATAAGGTTGACGGTTCAAATCCATCAACCGCTCCTTGGAAACCCTATCCAGAGTCGCCATGAGTCAGACAAAAACCATACTCAACACAGAAAAGACACGTCACCAGGTACGGCCTCCACATCATCTACTTTATAAATCTCAGACATAGGTTACTATCAATCTTTTAATATGAACATTCAGTAAAACCAATTTCTGGTCAAGTGAAGAAAAAAACGGAGGCAGGAGTGATGATGTGTCCATTTTATTTCGGCTCCACTTTGTCTAATCATCTGCTGAGGATTCTCATGGGCTGACCCAGACCTGGATGTGTGGGTCCTAAGGATCCCTAAACGCAGAGTTAAACATGAGGCAGGTGCCAAAAACTCCGTTCCCACTCCTGAGAAAATACACAGTTGTTGACAGTTATGTCCCCTACACCATTGTACTAGGAACTCTGGGAGCGTAGTGGTTACAAATCGGGCTGCAAACTCGAAAGCTCAGCTGTTCTGCAGGAGAAAGATGAGGCTTTCTGCTCCCTTAAAGATTTACAGCCTCGGAAACCCTCTGTAGGGTCACTATGAGTAGGAACCGACTCCAAGGCACATAACCACCACCATCACCACCACACCATCATACGAACTATTACAAGCACTTTTCTCTGAAGAGCCAGGGCAAAGTTTGAATTTTCCAGACACCGGCTCCTCCCTGTCCTAGGACGCCGTGCTCACACCCTCCCGGCGACCCGAGTGCCGGGCTCCCTCGCCCGCACGACCTTCTAGTTGTTCCCCGGACCCTACAGGACCCCACGTTCCCCGACCCCCAAGATAGACGGGGCGAGACTGGAGCCTAGCGAGGCGGCCTGCCGGCCTCCGGACGTCCATCCCAGGTCCCCGCCCGCCGCCGGCTCCGCCCACGAACTCCGGGAAGGAGGACCGCGACCTACTCAGCCGGTCAAGCCGTCGGCAGGTCGCGCCTGCCCGCGCCCCTCGCAGCCCGCGCTCACCTCCAGGCGCAGGGAGGCCCCGCAGCCTCGCAGGAACTCACGGATGTTGCTGAGACACTCGCTCTCGCTCCGGGGCTCTGGGTAGACCTGCAACACAGAGCAAAGCACTGAGCGCGACAGCGACAGTGGCGTGGAGGCCGCGGACGCGCCCCGAGCACGGAGCCCGGAGAGACCCGCAGCCACCGGTCCCGCGCGCAGTTCTCGGCGGCACCGCTCGGCCCCGACCAACGCTGGCGCGGGACGGCTCGAGCTTCGCTTCTTCTCACCTTTTTTTTCCTTTTCTCCGGCTGCACCAATCCCTAATTCCCCCCGTTCCCACACCAGGAAGTAGACCTGGCGCCGGAAATGACGCACCCCGGCAGCGCCCCCGCCCCAGCTCCAGCCCCAGCCCCAGCCCAGCGCTCGGCCTTCTCCTCCCGCGCTGTGTCGGCGCGCTCGGCCCTCGCTCCCGGCGGAGGCAGCGCCGACGACCTGCAGCTGCCTGGGACGCTCGGCCTGCACGGCGGGAACCGCGGACGCCCAGGGGGCCGAGACATGATCAGTGGTCTCGTCCGTCTTCCCGGCCCGGGCCTAGGATAGCGGACTATTGCTCTAAGTGCCGTCGAGTCGATTCCGACTCACAGTGACCCTGGAATTGGGTTTCCAACTCCGTGCTTAGCAGGCCAGCACTTAGCCAACCGCGGCAGCTGTGATTTACAATCATGAGCAGCATAAGGTTTGCAAGTTGTGATTCAAGTGCAATGTTTTCTTTTCCCCTTGTGCTTCATGAATGATGAACCAAAATAACCAGTCCCACACCCACCCGAGAACGGGGGAGGAATTCTGGCTAATGGAGCCTCGGACAGAAAAGTGCAGATGAAAGGTTCCTGTCAAGGGCCACAAGTGGCAAGAAACGAAGGAAATCGAGGTTGAAAAGTAACCGAGGGAGAAACGCGAGGCCAAAGCGAAGTTTTTACCCAGGAAATATGTGACTAGTTAAAATGGATGTTCTTTACTGCCTAAGTACAGTTAGACACTAACGCATCACCCACCATTCTAGCATTTGAGGACTTTCCAAGATGTTTGTATCTCTTGCCCTCTAGAGGGAAATCACCATATTCTATTAGTCAGCTCTCAGAAAGACTGCGGTTTCTTCTCTTAAGTGTTGTGGACTTTTAAAATTAGAAATCAAAACCTGGTGTCATGAGATGTTGAAGAGGGACCAGATGGGACATAATTTTTTTCTTACACTTAAAAAGATTATTACAGGGAAGTGCTGACATGTTTCTCTCCAAACTGAAAACACTGGGCGTCCCCCCCCACAATGGAACAGCAAAACCAAAGCTGTCTCCTAGTTCAACTACACTTTGCACTTTTTTGCTCCGATTTTCCCGAAAACAACCTTGAAAAGTCATGTACCACTCAAATATATGTAGGCTACGAATCGGGCTGCGAACCTTAAGGTCAGCGGTTCGAAACTACCAGCCGCTCCACGGGAGAAAGATGAG